TCTGAATTTCCTGCCTAGGTAAGACTATGGTTTGTTTAAAAACTTGAGTTCTTTTTTGCTAGGTTTTTTTCCTGTTGCTTGAGCAAGAACCCATTGTTTGATGTCCACCACAATTAAATGTTTATTATTTTTACTGGACCCTTTTGCCTCATGTTAAGTGGGATGTGAGATCAATAGTGGCTCTGCAATTATTTGTCCATTGATAAAGCATTCATTTCTCAAATGAAGTACATTTGTCTGTGTCCTGACAGTGATAAGGGAGCAATACCAGGCAGCTGCTGCCTAGCCCAGCATTTAGCTCCACAGCCAACAAGTGCCTGGACATGGGTCAAACTATGTCTAACTTTTTCTTACTGGCATTTCACTTTACAGACTGCTCTGATGGGAGTTTGAAAAATCATTCTTGCTGAGTTCACATAATAAAAACTAGCAGGACAAATAGGAAGCTTTTGTAAAGAGAAAACAATGACTGATTTCAGGTTAAATGACCAGCCTGTAAAGCTACTGGATGATAAAGTGAAAATGACAGAAAATATACCATTTAAGGCACTCATTTGGCTCTTCAAGCATCATTTAAATTTAGTAGTTTTTCAAATTTAATTGATGAAAATTTATTTTGAATTTTGTTTTGTGATCGGGAAGCAAATTTTGACTCCAATAAAAAGGAGTGAAATTCTCTTGGCTTCAGCGGGGTCAAAATTGCATCTCCCAGTGGAGCATATGAATCTATTTCAGCCCCAGAATTAGACAATTCAACAGCACATGTGGGGTGATTTGTTTGCTTTTGTTTATTTGTTTTCTTTCTAATTGTGATTTATGACAAGGAAAGGAAGGAGTTTCCCAGCTAATGTCAAATTGGTAATGAAAATTCAAAGAGCTTGATTAACTGACACATTTGCTTTTTCTATCCATAATGTTTCTTGATTCAAGCCAGCAGTTATTAAAGACAAATAATTTGTATTTAGTTTTTGGTCTACTTTTTGATAATGTGTACAGTGGGCTGTACTGGTTATATGCTATAGAAAAATTAGGTATATTTTTACTCTGGGATTAGGGCAAAGAATTCATGTTACCCTCAATTTAGCCAACTTTCAGAAAGCTAGAAATGTTTATTGCATTTGGTGGTAAACAGTTACAGAACTGTGTGATCCGCATATTTCTCAGATATTCGCATTACATGTGTTGGACACGAGCTCATCAAGTACTCTTAAAAGTAGGTTTAACACTTAAGTCAGTCAAAGATTTCTTTATTTTTTCCAGTTTTTGTCTGGCCACTAACTTCCCATCAATGGTGTGACTACAGTTGCTGCATTGGAGGAAACCTGTCAAATGCAACTAAGAAGTTGAGAAATCCATACTTGCATATCTCTTGAGCTGCTGGGGTTTTTTTTGGTTTTTTTGTAACCCACCTATCTTTAGATTGCAGAAAAAAATGGTGGACATACCTGAGTTAAATTGTGGTTTGACATATTGATTACTTCACTCCCTAAGGTGGAATTAAGGGGAGAATATCTCTATATGTGAAATCACAGAAACAATGCCCCAGAAAACAGACTTTCTTTGGGGTTTGCAAATACAATATAAACATCAGTTGAAGAAGGGTTGGCAAAGGGAACTGCAGTGAAAGACTTTTATGTACAGAGAGGTAAGAACTAGCTACCTGTAAAGACATTTGCTTTTTACAACTGAGAGAGGGAATTTAAAAAATTATGTAGTTCTACATATTTAACTATTCTGTAGCACTGAACTGGAGACATCACACTTAAGAGATAATTTACCAAACTGTTCTGGCTTATTGAATAATTGCTGATTCAGCTGTACCATTCTGTAGTTGGCTGTATTGGTCAGAGGATCCCAGGCAGAGCAGGTGGCCCTGGAGGAAGGACTGGAGCTCTTGTGCCTGGGGCTGCCATCATCGAGGTGGGGCCGTGCAGTGTGACTGCAGGAGGAGCTATGTGCTGCTAGCCACAACAGCTACACTTAGTATGCGTCTGGCTAAGCCTCAGCAGCATCTTCTTTAATGCTGTCAAAAATCAAAAGGATTTTCCTGTATAAACCCTTTGCAAATCCTTACGAGTAGATAACAAACCTCCTTAATTTAAAATCTTGCAAGCAAAACTGATATAGTTTAATTCTATTTTGAAAAATTATTCTAAGTACTTTGGGTTTTGAACATGGCTTTACTGTTAGTTTACTAACATAATCACTTCTGAAAAGTTAAGAAAAAGGGCAGAGACCAAATTCTTTGCCCTAAAGGAGATAGCTGTCTTTTGGGTAGACAGACAGGATGGTACAGCCATGAATAACAAACAGCTTTATAAGGCAGTCTCATATCTATACAGTTATAAAAAACCAAACAACTTCTTCTCAATAAATTCATTCTGTGGATTGTTGACTTCATATTGCCTTTGAGAAGCTTTATAGTAAACATTTATTTTTCAATCAAGCACTGGACTGAAGAACAGTAGTAAAAGCTTTCATTGGCTTGGTTAACACTCATATGAACATTCTCAGAAATGTAAAAAGGCTATGTCTTGAAGCAGTTTTTATTCCATTAAACATTACAGGGCCAGATTGTCAACAGCTGACGTTTTTGAAATATTCTTTTTATTAAGTGATACATTATTGGCATTAGTACTAGTTTTCTGTAGAGATGCCTAAAAGATGTAGATATGTGCTAAATGCACCTAGATATTTAGGTACAATGATTGCTCCCAGTTATTTATGTAGAATTTGATGCTTAACTACTTCTGACAGCCCTGCTGAATGACTACCAGCATTGTTAGACACTTCAATGTCTTCTAAACCTGACTTGCTCTTAGGCTGTGAGGTGTCTTTTTAATTTCAGCTACATGATTAATTTGTTCTTTCGGGCAGAAACTTAAATGCTAAGCTGGAAGGGGTATCTGTGTTTTTCACTTCAATCTTGTCATCATTCTAGTTAAGTATTTGCCTCTGTCCTGTGGGTCAAGTGGTAACATCTTTACATTTTACTCTTTGCAGAATAACATCTAGCTGTTGCTATTAGCAAATGGAATTCTGCAGTATGCTAAATAATGAACTAATTGATTTCAAAGGTGTCAGACCTGTCTTAGCTACATCACTTTTACATGCAAGTGGTGTGAATACAAGGTTCCTACTTGCAGAAAAATTAGCTTGTTTTATAGTAGCATAAGTGAGAGAAAAACTGGCTAATCTGGCTTGGTATGAGTTTGCAGGTTATTCCTGCCCGAGTGCTTCAGAAGATGAGCACCGTACCTGGCAGAAATAGAAGAGCTAGAGGTGTGAGAATGGTTCCTAAATCAGTGAAAAGTACCAGAAGAGCTGATGAAAGTCATTAAATAAAAACACTCCTAAATGTGAGAATTTTCCAAATGCACTTCATTTATTCAGCTAATTTAAAATGTTTTTGAACTGACATGAATTCTCTAAATATTTTATAAGAAGAAAGCTACAGGCTTTATTTGTGCCGCTGTATAATGACTGAAAAACCTACTTATGAGGAATTAGGAAATATGAATTCTGGTGAATATGAATTCATCAGATTAATTCATAAAACATAATTTCTGCAACAGATGGTTTGTTTTCACTTCTCTGAATCTAAGATATTCAAGCAATGAAGCCCTGAATACAAAATGTTAATAGTTACCAAGGAAATCCATCATCTCTTCCTAGGATTCAAAATGGACGTACCTCAGAATGATCTACTCTGTTAGCATCATTCTAATTTCATTATAATTTGTAAAATCTTTTCTATCTTCTGCATGTTCTGTCCCCTGTACCTCTGCAGTACTGGTCTTTTATCTTCCCTACATTTAAAGGGAACTTTATCTAAAATTTTCTCAAGCAGTTCAAATTCTGTGACACCTAGGAGGGACATATTTAAGATTGTAATTGAGATCTACAGTGTGATCAAAAGTGTCTCTTTTAGTCTACTTGCAATTGTATCACAAAAATTTATTTTAAGGATTTGATTAAAGATTTTTTTAAAAACTGAAAACGAAAGAAAAGCATTACTAAATGTCACCACTGCTGTTATCTTTCATTGTGTCCTTGGCTCAGCTACTCTCTTTGTAGACAAAAACACCTTTTCAGTAAAACAGGAGGTTTTGCTGTGGAGGCATGGCTGGGCCTGACCTTATTTATGTTTTTAAGTTTCTCCTTTCAACTCTCTGCCAGAAAAAAGTCACTCGCTTGGGCAAAGTTCATTTTGATCAGCTTTACAACAAAGTGCAAACCTGAGGCACAGGACAGGCAGAAAAATGTCTTCCCATGAAGTCAATAGGAATCCATCTCCCTAAGATCTTTTTTATTCTTGGCACCAGTGATTTTTCTCAACTGATTTATTGGAGGGCACTGGTTTAACTAATTTGTCTTGCATAGGTATCTTTCCCATTCTGTCCTCTCCACTAGTACAAAACAATCTTCCCTTTAAAGGTTATTTCCTAGCCAGATCTGTCCTAAAGCTATTATCATTAATTTGCAGTTTAGGAGTTCCTTTCACTTCTAAAAAACTATGAGATACATTCCTGATTTACAGTGTGACAGCCATCATATGCAAAGAAGATTGTTTATACTTACCACATGCGCCCTTGAATAAGAGGGAAAATTCAACCGTATCCCCACTCCATGTGCTTTACATAACTGTATTCAGTATCATAGAAGAACATAGCAATCTGTATTTTCCACTGTTCTCTAGGATGTCTAATAGAATTTTATCCTTGTTTTGGAAAATTCAGTATTCGCATACCAAAATACAGAAGCTTTATAATACTCCACAAAATTCTGTAGGTTTTAGGAGTAATTTCCATGGAAACACACTTTTAATCCTTATACATAATTTCCCTGCAACTGGTAATTAAAAAATTATCCTCAGATTATTGTGAACCATATTAAACATATTTCAAAATCATGTGTTTCACAAACAATTGAAGAAAAGCAAAATATTTTCAATGTTTTTTAGAAAAAGACAATAAGTATGAAGATTAGAGTGTACCTACCTAAACTAAACAGCACCAGGAATTTGAGGCAGACAAATTCTCGTAGGTCAAACTGCAGCGAACGAAGCTTTGCTACCAGTTCTTGTGCATGGCTCATAAGATTGTTGAGGGTGGCTCCAGCTTGGGATGCTATTACAGAATAATCCACCTGTAAAAGAGAATTATGTTCCTGTCGGGTTGTCGTGCCCACACTTTAGGATGTTTCAAGCAATAATATACAACCAGGATACTCCTGGATATAGAAATCACTCTTAATTTAATTATGTTACCAAGTTAAGATTATTTTATGTATAAACCAATTTTAACCCAATGGTACATATTGAAAATAACATTAAGCCATATATCTTAATGGTACGTGACATCACTGTGAGTGCTACTTTGTCTGCATTAGCTTTTTCTAGAAGCTTTAAATAGCTGCCTATGACACTGGTAGCTGTTCACATCTCAGTTTTGTTCATTTGGTGTCTCCTGTTCTCATTGTAATAGTATGATCCTGCAGAGAGCAACTGCTGGAGTGAGCTTTGTGCCTACCCTGGCTGTATTGCTCCAGAGGGACACAGTGATATTCATGGGAAACAGTCCTGTGTCTAGAACTTGGCCAGAAACATCTATTCAGGCCCAGAAATGTCGGTGTATTCCCACAGGAAACAGAGGTATTGTGTGGGTGGTTGCTGTTCTCCTCAGCTACACAAAATCCCTGTATTTGTTGGAGTTGATTGGAACTCACTTGTTCTGGCAAGTGCTGCCCTGCAGGGGAAGGAGGGGTGGCAGGTGTGTGACAGCCCAGGAGTGACCGCAGTGCACAGAGCTCCTTCCCCTGGGCTGGGGACACAAGTGGTGCTGCTCTGGCCTCTGCTGCGCTGTCCCTTGTTCTTGGGGCAGGCACCTGCCTGGGAGCTTTCCTTGTATGCAGAGATCCAACAGAAAGCTGGAGTTAATACACTTCTTCCAAAAGGGAAAATTCACAAGCACAGGATACTCAAGGCCTGTCATTGCTGGCTCATCCTTGGGTGATCCTTGAACCTTGGGCAGCCTCCCCAAGCCCAGCATGCTGACACGGTTCTGGCTGATGCCAGTCCCGTTGCAGGGATGTTTCCGTGCAGGAGGCTGCCCCAGCCCCTGCCACTCTGAAGGTGTGCCTGCTTTGTCACGAGATGGTGACCAGTGGGGAAGGGCACAGCCTGTGGGAATGCTGTGGTGGGAAAATGAAGAGAGGGGCTGGGATGGCTCCAGGACAGGGAAATGGCTTGGTGTGGAGCAGGGTGTAACTGCTGTATCACAACTGGGGTGACCTGGCCAGCAGCTTCAGCTTCAATGCTCAGCCCACTTCTCATCAGAGTGCTCCACATCCCTGCCAGTGCCCCTGTCCCATGACATGGCCTGCTGTGCTGCTCGCTCCCCACGGAACCACTCCTGGCCAGCTGGTTGAGACCTCAATGGGTCAGTGGCACATTTTCAAAAGGCTCTAGTGTTACCATCACCTTTCTCTTGTAGGAGCCTCCAGAACAACAGGGAAGTTGCTAATCATACTTCATCTAAGTGAAGTCTGGCTGTAAATTACGACTAAGCACAATGGTGTTTGCTTTGGGTCAGTCACTTTTTAATGGAATCAGTGCTCTCAGCCCACCTCTAAGATTTCCCATAATAAAGTAGTTAATAAAGAATGGAGCGGTATCACCACAACAAACAAACCAATACTGCAAAATTTTGTTTTTCCAGGCTCTGATCCCTTAAAATCTGATTTTACTCAAGTATTAACAGCAGTAAAACTTGGAATACTTCTACCTGACAAAATTGCAGCAAGGAAAGATAGAAAGATGACTAAAAGAAAATAAAATTAACTTTTCCTGGTAATGACCTTAATATAATCAATAAGTTACTGACTTTTAATAAGAGATTTCATTTATGTGTACTCTGATTACACCCTATAAACTGATTGGAGGTAACTGCACAAGAAAATGAGGTTACACTTTTTGAATGGAGATTAAGAATAACAACACTTTGCAGTATTGGAGCAGTTAGAGTTGAGTTCATGCTTCAGTTAAATCAATGGATTATGCTGAAGAATCCTGTAAGGTAGGTTATTGCTGTCTTTTACACCTGGGGAAACTTGAGGTAGTGACATTAAACTGCTTACTCAGGGCCAAAGAAATCTGTGGCAAAACTATCATCTGATCTTTGGAAACCCCAGCCTATCCATCTTTCAAAAACTACTTGCTAGTTCATCTCTTTATTTATCACTCTTCCTATAGATGTATTTCTACATATTTTTTAATGTGTATATGTAAATAATAAGAAAAAATAAAGTAACGTGCCTCAAATAATTTTTACTCAAAGATCAGTTTAATGTATTGACATGGTTCAACTACTTTGTATTGAGAAACTGGTCACATATAAATATTAAATTTCATAACTTAATATCTTTTTTGTAATTGTTAAGGTGATGGGAGGGGAAGCTCCAGATCCCTTACTGAGCTTCCAATTTGTGGGGAAAATATGCTGCTCACTTCATAAGAAGTTAAGATGTCTGAATGTCAAGAATATCAGTGGCCTTAGTGCAGCGATTATGCCATAATGGAAAAACCCAGTAGATGCCTGGATCTCCCAGCATCCCTCTACTGGAGAGCTCTCAGGCAACCTGCTACTCTTTCAGGTGCATTTAATATTTGCAGCACCAGCAAATTTGTCTGGGAGGCAAGTCCTCATCTGCCACTCACCAGGAACAGGCTGTATTAAATTTTTATATTTATTGACATTTCATTACCATAATTGACTGCAGTTGGTTCTCTAGTAGAAGGCACAGGGCTGCCTCCTAAGCAGGAGAATTGGTCCCTTGAGTAGGATTTGCAATTAAAAACAAAGCAGAATGGATTTTTTTTTAATTGTGTAAATATGATGAGTTGAATTTTCAGCTTTAACTAGAGAATAGTAGGTGTGCAGAAGGCTTTTTTCAAGAGTGAGCAAAATTATGAGTCAGTGGAAAGACGACCCCCAAAGGTGTCAATCAGTTTATACAAAAGCAACTGTGCATGAAAAAGCCTCAGTTAATGTCTATTCTGAAAAAGTGGTCACATTAAAGACTACAGTGTTCTGCTTGCTTGGTCCTTTTTGCAGAAATTGATACTAAAATGTGTCTTAATTCTTTTACCTTCCAACATGATACAAGCACTTTTAAAAGGCAAAGATTAAACCAGCTTGGATTTTGTGCAAAATACTTAATTACATAATGAAGTCTTAGCATTTACTTTATATTGTACATTTTACTTCGTATTGTATATTGATTTCATTTAGTAAAATCAAATCCATGACTAAAATATTCTTGCATCCCAATTAATACTACTACATTTCACATTGACTTTGATGTTGAGAATGTTGTCTGGCATTTTTGAAAACAACAGCTTTGTCAGAGCTTCCACATAACCTAATTTGGAAGTACAACAATGGGCTGAAGTTATGGCTGCACAAACAGAAGTGTGAATTCCTCCTGTACCCTGGGCTAAATACATGCTGTGGCTGAAGGCCAAAAACAGAGGGAGCACCTGTGGTTTTTTGTTTTACAAATGGTGTTTCATGGTAATTAAAGATTTTTGAAGACAAATTGCTGGGCTCAGATAATAATTTTTCTGGTGGAATCAGGTGGTGGCTTCTGGTATCACCTCTTCTCTATGCTCACAAAACAGTCTAACACTTAATGGTGGAATTAAGTTCCCTTTTTCTTCTAAAATTAAGGAGTGTTTGATGTCTAGAATATGACTGTGTTATCGGGGTAAATATTGTGTGGAACCACACCATCCATTTCAATGCTTCAGCAAGCTTGAAATTGTCTCCAGAATATGATTAGAGTGATTTTACTTGTTGATGGCGTTGCCAGGTGCTGACTATCCCTGAATGCCATTCCTTTCAACCAGAGAGGAATTGGACAAGTAAGGAATAAAGTCCTGCTGTAGCTTTATTCAGTATAACCTAGCAGACTAAGGCAGTCCCAAGTTAATAAAATATTGATTTTGCATTGGATTTAGTAAATTAGACTACTGTGAGCCTGGGGTCTGAAGGCAGGGGCAGTGGGTGCCCAGGTGCAGCAAACTGCTCCTCCTGCTCTACGGGGTGCAACCCTGGCCAGCACCTCTGGCTGCTGGGGGGCTGCTCCCCCAGCACCCCCTCCTTGGCACTGAAAGCCTGGGCTGGCCCACACTGACCTGCCCTGGGTCTCTGAGCCCTGACCCTGCTCGAGTGGATGCTCAGTGGGTGGATGAGTCTCATCTCAGAAGCATGCATTCACTATATAGCAAACAAGCTCATTTACTATTGCAGCCTTTCCACTGTTTCCTGAGATACGGGTTTCACCGGAAACTGCAGTGCTTATTAAACTAATTTTGAGCTTTTAATATAATTCTTTAATTAAAAACAGTGCTTCTGTTACATTTCTAAGCAAATAAACCTGGAAAAAACTTTGAAGAGGTGCCTACATAAAAAAATTGAGGAGGTTTCAGAATGGAAAAAACCCACAGATATGCTTGTATCTGCTGGTTAGCAGGTTTGGATATATTAATTAAAATTTTGTTGACTTATGCAGCATAAGATGCTTGTCATTTTAATGTGAGACACAATAATAGAAGATAATGAATTAAGTTGCCAGTGGCCCTTTCCCCTAGGATGATATGGTGCTTGATAATTAACTATGATATGCAAATAGTAACACTCCAAAGTACTGCAGAGTACAATAGAATCCATTTATTTACCAAAGTGTTATAATGTACTTTTGTGGGGTTTTTTTTAATATTGAGATGAGATGATACAAATTCACTGCTGTGTTTGATATTCAGTAAAGCTGATCAGAAGACAGAACCACTGGAAAAAATTTTGTAAATGTCTGGGTGACATCTCACAAGGCTATGTTAACTCAAACTGCTTCTTCAGGAGCTTTGAACCATGTAAGTTCATTCCCCCTTAAGACCCTCTTATTTTACCCAAATTTCTGCTCTACTGTTTTAAATCCTTTCCCACAATGGGTAGTCAAGACTGGATGTACTCACCTTGGATCCCATCACTATCACTACTCCAACAGCAGTTGAGACAGACTCATGTGGTGCTTTCTTCAAACTGAGTTTCTGAACAACTTTGTCTTTCATGCTGGGCAAGCTTAAAATC